TCTGTCCATCATGGCTTCCTAATCATCCCCATATATACCAATTGGCTTCATCACTGTCTCCTCTCCACCAGTAAGCTGGTGTGTGGTGAGCGTTCTGGCGCACAGTGACTAAAATATCAACTTCACATCGTTTCTTTTGAAAAAAAAAAAACTTTTTTAAATTGTGAATAAATTATATACAGAAAGCGATCAAAGAACAATCTTTCCACACAGCGCGAGTTTATCTGGACACTTGCCAAACTCGTTATGAATTCAACGTTACACTGCACAACAAAGCTCTTGCTGGGTAACACTTTAGAATACGGTTCCTTCGTTAATGAATAACTACACAAGAACTAATGAGTAACACAATATTAACAATCTAGTAACTATTATTAACTAACAAGAAACTCTGATTAACGAACTAGTAAGTAATAGCGCACAGACGAAAGTGGTAGTTCACTATTAAGTAATCAATAACTACTATTTTTTTAATACTTCCCAGAGAACTACTGAAAAAGTTTATTAATAATCTAGTAACTACTATTAACTAAAAGAAACTCTTATTAACGAATTAGTAAGTAATAGCTCGCAGATGAAAGTGTTACTAGATACTTCTGTGGGAATTACTAATTATTTGGATTCGTATTATAAAGTGAAGATCATTGGAACTAACTAGTAATTACTCAAGTGTTACTACATGATCTAGTCATGATTTGTGCAAATGTTTGAGATTTTTGGTGAACTTTAGTAACTTTTAGAAAATGTCTTTAGTAACACTTGAGTAATTACTAGTTAGTTCCAATGATCTTCACTTTATAATACGGATCCAAATAATTAGTAAGTAATAGCTCATAGATGAAAGTGTTACTAGATACTTCTGTGAGAATTACTAATTATTTGGATCCGTATTATAAAGTGAAGATCATTGGAACTAACTAGTAATTACTCAAGTGTTACTACATGATCTAGTCATGATTTGTGCAAATGTTTGAGATTTTTTGGTGAACTTTAGTAACTTTTAGAAAATGTCTTTAGTAACACTTGAGTAATTACTAGTTAGTTCCAATGATCTTCACTTTATAATACGAATCCAAATAATTAGTAATTCCCACAGAAGTATCTAGTAACACTTTCATCTGTGAGCTATTACTTACTAATTCGTTAATAAGAGTTTCTTTTAGTTAGTAGTTACTAGATTGTTAATAAACTTTTTCAGTAGTTCTCTGGGAAGTATTAAAAAAATAGTAGTTATTGATTACTTAATAGTGAACTACCACTTTCGTCTGTGCGCTATTACTTAATAGTTCGTTAATCAGAGTTTCTTGTTAGTTAATAATAGTTACTAGATTGTTAATATTGTGTTACTCATTAGTTCTTGTGTAGTTATTCATTAACGAAGGAACCGTATTCTAAAGTGTTACCCTCCTGCTGTATTTACATGATCGTGTCTGCATTGGTGAAAGCATTAGAGAGAGCAGAAACTGCATTGCAATAAGATCGTGATCGACAGACTGTCCTCTGCTTGCTGAATGCTCATCACAGCAACATTTTATGTGATAGGAATAGATCTAAATACTTCAAAAACAACTTACGATTCATTAATCTCGATAGCTGTAATAGTAAAAACGTATAATAGCTGCAGTAAAATTATTCGAGAGAGTTTCACATGTAATACATAGCTATTTCATATGCAAGCATTTCAGCCAATCACAGCAGAGGCCAGTTACACACAGCAGACACGCCCCTTCAAACAGAGCGTTCAAATCAGAGGCTAAAATCAGTCTAGGTAAATGCCTTTTATTTCTAAATTATGACTATTTTTGATCTAAAAAAAACATACTAACATTATAAGGGCAACCCAGGAAACATTATAAAATCATTTTTTTAGAAAACATTCTAGGGCACCTTTAAATCCAGGAAATTGGTTGATGAAACATTGATTCAAATTAAGATACAATTAATACAAAACGAAATTCAGGTTAATGAAAGGTTTTGTACTTTCTGTTTGATGTCTCTGTGAAGCATCTTTTAGTGCCGCTTTCAGAGCGCTCAAGTCCGTAACATTGTTTTTTCCTCATAAATGCAAACACGAAAAATAAAATTAAATCAATATTTTATACAATATGCTGGTGTCAGGATCTAAGGACTCTTCAAACTACAAATTGGAAGCTTGGAGTCTGGATATTAACGAGGATATTCATATGGAGGACTGGATGAATGCATGTAAAGAGGCTCAATCACAAACAATGAACACCCATCTGAAACTTCCACAATACAAGTGGTTGATGCGGATTTATATAACTCCAGTTATACTTCATAAGTATAATGAAAATGTTCCTGACACTTGCTTGAGATGCAGTGAGGCTAAAGGTACATTATATCATTGCATATGGGAGTGCGAAGAAGTTAAAACATTTTGGAAAGGTGTGAAAAAAATAATAGAGAAGATCCTTGATGTTAACATTCCATTGTCACCTTTACTCTTTCTATTACATTTATTTCCTAAGGAGATCAAGTTAAAAAAGAAAGAGTATATATTTATAAATATTTGCATTCTTCAAGCAAAACGGCTTATTTCTTTAAATTGGAAGAGTATTTGTGCACCAAGTATAGGACGTTGGCTAAAAGAAATGGTAACAAATATGTCAATGGAAAAGATGACTTATTGTCACAGTCTCCGTCTGTACCATTCTGTCTACGTCTTCTTCACTACACTTCCCAGGATCCTCTTGTCTCCTCACCTGAACTCACTCCCGCAATCATCCACCTGTTGATCATCCTCATCATCTGTTTCACCTGTTTTTCACCTCATTATGTTTGATTCATTCTTGTATTTAGTTTGCCTGTGTTCCTTCATTCATTGTCGGTCGTTGTCAGTGTTACCCTGAGTTAGTGAGTGTTTCTGCCTGTTTGCCTGTACCTGTTTTTGAGTTTAACTAAAGTAATTGAATGGGCTCTATGCACGGCGTTATTTCCGGTGAAGGATTAAGGATGCTCGATAACTTCCGCCGATCATAGAGTCCAATGCAATACCGAGAATTTATATTGAATTTTATACTCCATGGTTATACTAATGAAACGTTAGTCACAAAAACAGATAAAACAGACACCCTTCGTTGTGTTTATGCTTCTTTTTAAAATTATATTAAATAAACATAACTATATATAAAATTACATCTAAACGTATGTACGTTTCGTTTCGAAGACGGGAGGACAGTAAATATTGAAGACTCTGCCATAATCCCGTTTTCTCCGGTTTTCCTCCGCTTTAATCTACACAACCGGAAATGGACGAGCATCCTTACGTCAAATGCGGAACTTATGCGTGCATATAGCCCATTGGAGCATTTGCCTCTTCTGTCTTCCTCTGCCAGCACTCCAACACACACCGTGACACTTATATTTTAAGGGACAAATTTACAATTTTTGATGGAGTTTGGAGATCTTTCAGATCATTTTTAAAATGTGGTAGACTTGGAAATGTCTTAATAAAAGACTAAGAAAAGAGGAGGTATAGAATAGCAATGTAAAATTCTGAGAGGCTGTTGTTGTTTTGTTTTTGCTTTTTCTTGTTTTCTTTTTTTTATTTTTATTTTTTATCATAAATCTGAGGCTACCATAGGTGGCTACGCCACTGCATGGGAGGATGTTTCAGCCCCAGCGCCACCAAGTCATGTATTTTCAGCTTAACCAAGAGTTGGCCTGAGCTGGTTTACTGCGTACCTATTCAGAGGCTGGGTCCTAAATGACCAGATTACACTTTAAACTGTTCAAGTAATGGATGTTAACTTATGTAAATAATTTTAATGAAATATGAAAAAAAAACATACATAGGCAAATATATCCTATATATTCAAATGTTCATTTATATCATACCTTGATGCGATTTTGTAGGCTAGTGTATTCTTATTATTGTGTACAGAAATGGAACATGGTGAATAGGCCTATATTTATACAGGTTGTCAACCCTATTTCCGGTCCGAGCGCTTCAGATGTGCACTTTGATATGGGATGCAGCTGTAGTTAGCAATAATTTGTTAATATTGTGACAATAGACATACATTTTGTTATTTTAATTTTCAAAATAACTAGTGGGGAAAAGTAAGGAACTTCATAGCCTACTTAATTAAGTATTCATGTACTTCATTAAGTATACACGTAGCCTACTTTTTCCCCTCACAGGGCAGCAACACCATATGCATTGTTTTACATTAAACTGCACTAAAGTAGGCTATAGCCTATAGTTTAAATGTATAAACCTTGCAAACACCCAGATACCATTACAAAAATAAACAATGTCCAGAGCCATAAAAACATTTTTCATGTTTTCAACGTTTCCAAATGACAAATGAAGCCACACAATGGTGACTAATGAGTTAAGATGAATAAGAAGAAAAAACTTGTGGCTTTTAACTCTCTATTTGAGGAAATGAAAACATAATACATTTACATTTAAATGTGAATTTAAAAAAATCGCAGTGGATCCATTTATGTATCCTCTCTTTTACGGGGAAACGAAGGGTGCATTTGGCGTCACACTGAATTGAACTGAACTGAACTGAATTGGGACAGCCTTCATTGTGCCACGGTGACGTAATCGACCTTCAAATGCGACACAGCTAACGTCACTTAAGCCATTGTCACTTCCTTCGTCTCATCCTGCTCCGCCCGGCCTTCGCCTCATCCTGCTCTGCCTAAGCTCTGTGACCCAGGCCCGCCTTGGCTTCCTCCTGGTCCCATTTCCCTGCACGGGCCTGGCCCTCCGTCATTTTGCAATAACCATGTTACATGCCTCAAATTAATTTAAACTTTGGTTGTATAAAAAAGTTGTGTCATGTGTAATAATTCTAGTAATAAATAAATGTTTGCTTCTGTGTTATAAGATGTATATTTTTATATATAAATATAGTGGTCTGCAACGACGTTAACATTTTTTAAAATGTATTGTTGTGGATGAACTAATCAATCAATTTGACAATATCATAAATATATTAGTGAAGTGAACTATACTGTGTTACCTTGAGGATCTGACTCATCCACAGTCACTTGGTAGACCGACTGCTGAAATTTTGGAGCGTGATCATTTATGTCCAATATTTGGATATGAACCCCGAGTCTTGTTTCCACTTCATTGTTTGACTTGTCTCTTGCTTCAAATGTCAACTGTAATTGAGTCCAGCGCATGTCATTATACAAGCCTTTTTTGCAGTGTATTTACATGAATTTCAATGCTATTATGAAATGAGTGATTTGTTAATAGTATTGAAATTGGGAGTACTTACTTTGAGAACTTTCACTCCTTGTTTATTTTCAAAGTCCACCTTACCATATACTAAAACATATCCTTCGTTATTAATATCGAGAATACCCTTTGGCTCTAAATCCACACCCTGACCCTTTAGCTCGTATCTGACTAAATAATACCTTTCAAATTCAATCTGAAACACAAACAACATGCACACTTAAATGTTCACATAATCATGAGCATCCAATACTTGTACACATACGTAATGTGAAAAACACAATACAAATGAAATGGAATTCAACAACAAAACCGGTAACTGTTTCTAACTCCACTCACCTTGCCTAGTTTATATGGAAATGGACCAGGGTTTTCTTCCTCAATCGTGAAAGACTCGATGATCCATGCACGCTTCTGTCTTCCCCTGTCAGCCCACACACACACAGTCCAGGTAAACTGAGATAAAAAAAAGAAGTCATGTTATGAAAGTTGTTATCAAGGTTAGGTTATCAATGCGTGAATCTCACAAATTCCGGCCATAACATGTCCTATTTTACCAACATTTTCATTACCTTCAGTGCTGGTTAGGTTACAAATTGTAGTTCATCGCTAAATACAAATTACATAAATTTATTGTATTTAGTAATGTAATCTATCAAATTACATGTAATATAATCTGCTAACTTTTAGATTACTTTTGACCTAACTCGTTTTTCACATTGATTTGAGTAAAATCCTTTATCATGTTGATGTTGTATATATATATAACAAAAAATACAAAGAGAAAGAAAAAATAAAAATATACATATTTTTAACAACATGAAGTGGGTCATATATAGTTATATATAAACTCAAATAACAATAATAACAATTATATTATTATTACATTTTAGGCTACATATCTAGAAGGTGCCTTTGTCCAAAACATACAAAAAAAGGAACAAAGCAATTTGTCAAATATAAGTCATAATACAGGTTAGACAATAATAATAAAGTGCTATGATTATCACAAATAAACAAAATATTTTAATACACGTCATTCATAAAAAAATTTAATATTCAATTCATCCACCCCATACCTGCTACAATTGATAATTACCTATTAATTACTTAAGTTATCGATGTATTCCACTTAATACAAAATAAAACAATATACCATAAGATTCGTTAACAACGGACCTCTGGTGTTCTTCTAAAATAAGGGCGAGCCACAAATCCGTGAGTCCAGTTTACAAACCCGTGGGAACGTATAGCGAAAGGCACGGTTTATGAATTTGTGGGTGCAGATTGCAAAAACTGAAGGCACGATTTACAAATCTGAAAGCGCGGATAAGAAGCTCGTGGGTACCCAGATAGCAAACATATGTACAGTACATCAAGGAGACATCTATTTGATGTGCATATTTACATCTAGAAGACGTATTTTAGTGTTTGCTTATCTGCAATACGTCCTGTCAGATGTCAAATAGACGTTTAGAAGATGTCTTTAAGATGTAAAATCATTAAACAGTTAAACTATCAGATGTTAGTAAAGAGCAGATGCTTTCCAGATGAAGTGATCTTTAACAGACACCTTGCAGACGTACGTGTGCTATCTACGGTTTATTAATCTGTGGGGATGATTTGTTCAACCGAACAGTTTGAGAATTTGTGAGTATGGTTTATAAACTGAGCGGACGGATTGCAAAATCGCTGCCACGGATTGTTTTTTTTTTTTTTTCTACCACAGCTGACTTCCCGGGCTTCGTATTACTCCAAGTCAACAGAACTAATTAAATAAACATGCAGTTTTTACTATAAGAGACATGGAAAAATAATCAGATTTCACCTGACTTTATACAGTGTGATACACTAGGTTTCTGCAACATGAACACTATCTGTGGAATATCAGCAGAGGAACATGAGCTGGCGTAATGGCTAATTGCTGTATCCTGTATCACATCACACAGGCCTTGAACTCACCAGCACCAGGAGCAAACTGACAGGAAGGGTCTTCATGTTGAAGCAGATCGTCAAGAAATCCAGTGTGAATGAATCTGAGTTTCCTTCTTTCTCATAGAGCAATAGTGTTCACTGCTCATTTAACAGATGGGAGAGGGGAGGGGATATTCAAATCAGGGAGGGCAGGGACTGGTTCGGTGCTATTTTACTATCACTGATAAACTATTTTAGTTTTAGTTCATATTTTGAATTGCTTGTGTGTTTTAATATGTCTAGTTTTATTGAGTTTTAGTTTATTTAGGTTTAGTTATTTTAGTCCTTATCTTAAACTAAACCAAAATGAGAAATATTGCTTTGACAACTAGCTGAAAAAACAACAACACTTATTTAGAATTCTTTGAAAACATTTTTCGAGCAGTAAATTATGAAAATTATCTGACACAAAGCACACCTATCCAACAATAATGTCATCAGATGGTGTCATCAGAGCACTTGCCTGCACATATTTCTTGGTTTAAAAATGTCTAAAGGCCTCAACAAACAAACTAAAAAGCCAATAACCCTAGGTTGCTTGAGGAGGACTTAAGGTTGTAATGTCATGTAAAAGACAAAGAAACAAACTTAAATGTTTTTGTGGAAATAGAAACACTGTAATAAATGAGCATTTGTGAGTATTTACTTTGCAAAAATGTTTACAGAGCCGTCGCAAGTGTGACTACAAATATGGCATTTCACTGAAAAACAGTGAGCTAAAGCATAGTTCACACTACATGATTTTAAGCCAGATTTAAGCCCGATTTGCAAATCGTTGAGCTTGCCGACAGGTCAGGGTTATCGCGTGCAAACCGCGGGGGATTATCGGGCGATGAACGCTCGCTAGTCTGTTAGTATGAAAGAGCCAACAACGTATCAAAGACGGTCGCAGACGCCTCGCAGACATTCAAAACATCTATTCGTGTCTCAGCCGCAAAGCTTCAGCCTCTCTCTGTCTGAGGACATGGACAGAGAGGCTTAAATGATAGTGTCTGTCAGTTATTCTAACATATGACAAAAAAAAAATTGGCTAAATTATGTTGCATATTCCTCAACAGTTCTTGTGCTGATATAAGTTAACACAGAACTATTTTTGGAAATCATAGGCTATATTGTGCAAATGCACGTGTTTCAACGCAGTCAGAGCCGACATTTCAGTGCCAAATAATTAGGTCAATAACAATTTAATATACTGCAAATAGCCTATTAAATTTTTATGTTTATTTATAATTAATTTAATTAATTAAATTACAATGGGGGGGTTGCATTTCAATTTCGCACAGGGCCTCGCAACCCACCTACAATGGCACTGAATGTTCATAACAGCAAAATTAATACATTTCAATAAATTTCACACATAATGACAAACAAATGGCAAGTAACATTGAATTAAGTGTGAATTTAAGTTAAAAAATATTGAAATACTATTATCTTTGTTTTATTTTACAGTGAAGTAGGTTTTAAATTTGTAATGTAGTCCTCAAATTGCACTGACTTTAAAACTTTATAAAAATAATTTATAATATTTGAAACACTGTAAATATGCTCATAATCTGTAAATTTGAAAATGTTTATTCTGACTAACCCCAACTGTGATATTTTTATTCTCATATTTTTTATTTTTTACATTTTTTTATTATAATTTGAATTACTGTGTTTCCTGTTGTATTTGTATATGCACTGGAAGCCTCAGCGCCAAAACAAAGTCCTTGTGTGTGCAAACACACTTGGCAATACAGCTCTTTCTGATTCTGATTCTTCTGATAACCATTTTTATGAGAAAATTAAATTAATTAGAAGATTAAGTTTTGACACGCTGATTAAAATCATTTGAATTTATTGCCATAGTCAGGGCAATTAAAATATGATTTGTACCTAAGGACAACTTGTGAAGAGTAAATGATGTTTGCATAAAGGATTCTTTATTGTGTTAAGTTAAAAGTCCCTTCATTTAGTCTGGCAGGGATTTTATTATTTTTGGCCAGCAATCACATTAATAAATCAAACTTTCTGTGATGTTTCCCTTCCTAACATTGCTTGAGGATATTTACGAGCATCATCTTTGGAATCTTTGTCGAACAGTACATTATATAAATGATCTGATACAAAGACACACCTATACCAACAATAATGTAATTAGATGGTGTCATTCAGAGCACTTGCCTGCACTTTTACTACACATCACTGCATGGTTCCTGAGAACAGAACAGGTTTGGCAAGTTAGCACACGCTAAGTGAGTCTATGTTAGTCCATTATTTGAATTTTACAAATTTTACTTTAGCAGTCCTTATTTGTTCTATTGTGTGATTGTAAAACTAGTATTGATTTGTTATGGAAGCTTGTTTCCACCAGTGAATAAAAAAAAAAATTATAATAATTGCGACATTTAATCTCAGAATTGCGAGAAATAAAATCACAATTGTGAGATATAAAGTTGCAATTCTGAGAGATGAAGTCGCAATTCTGAGAAATAAAGTCACAATTGCAAGACAAAGACACTTTATCTCACAATTCTGACTTTATATCTCACAATTGTGATTTTATTTCTCACAAAACAGTTTTATTAAGAAAGTGACTGATATGGCTGTCACGGGGTGGATGCAGGCAGACGAACAGGCAGAGTCCAAAAAGCTCCAATACAAAGGTTTAATCACAAACAAACAGGATACAGGCAGGCGGAACACAGGGTAACATTAACATTGACTGACCAGGACAGACTGAAGGAGATGGAACTAAATACACAGAGGAATCAAACTAAACGAGGTGCAAACAGGTGAAAATGATGATGACAGGACGAGGAACAGGTGGCTGATTGGGGAGTGAGTCCGGGAGTAGAAACAAAAGGATCCGGGGAAGTGTAGTGCAGATGACGAGACAGACTGGTGCAGACAGAGGACTGTGACATCACTCCCCCCTCCCGGTAGGCGTGACCTCACGCCGTAACATCAATGGGGAGGGGGGGTGGCACCCTGGAGGCTGTGGAGGGTGTGGTTTGGAGGAGGAAGCCCCCCCAGGGCGGAGCAGGATGAGGGCGTGGCCAGGGCGGAGCAGGATGAGGGCGTGGCCAAGGCGGAGCAGGATGAGGGCGTGGCCAAGGCGGAGCAGGATGAGGGCGTGGCCAGGGCGGAGCAGGATGAGGGCGTGGCCAGGGCGGAGCAGGCTGAGGGCGTGGCCAGGGCGTAGCAGATGGAGGGCGAGACCAGGGCGGAGCAGAAGGAGGGAGGACCCCTGGTGGAGCCGATGGAAGTGGGGCTGACAACACCAGGGGGCCGACTGACAGGGGCGGAGCAGATGGGAGAGGAGACCAGGGTGAAGCTGAGGGACTGACGACGTGAGGAGCTGATAAAGGACCGTGGGACCATGGGGACACCGCAGGCTCTGGTGACTGAAGTGATGACAGGGGTACAGAGGGACACGGTGAGGACAGTGAGGGAGTGAGGGCCGATGGGTGACTGGAGGGAGTGAAGAATCCAACTGAAGTGGGGGGGTGAAATGACGGGGCAAGGCAAACAAATGGAAGTCCAGAGTTAAAGGACGGGTGATGAGGGACCGAAGGGAATCCAGAGGGGCGAGGGAGCCTGGACGAGCTGGTGGACAAAGGGGCCATGGAGGAGCTGAGGGAGGTAGAAGCCACGGGGGAGCCGATGGGACCGGGGGCCGAGGAAGGGTCGAGATGGAGGAGGTGTGAGGCGAAGGCCGGGGATCCGCTAACCCTGCTGGGTCTTGATGGCGATGGGACAGGAGGGCTGATGGGTGAATAGTGGGAGGAGGCGGGAGAGGGAGGCTGAGTGGGATCCTGGTCTCTGGCTGGGCGGTCTGGACGGTCTCTGGCTGGACGGTCTGGACGGTCTCTGACTGGACGGTCTGGGCCGTCACTGGCTGGACGGTCTGGACGGTCTCTGGCTGGACGGTCTGGACGGTCTCTGGCTGGACGGTCTGGACGGTCTCTGGCTGGACGGTCTGGACGGTCTCTGGCTGGGCGGTCTGGGCGGTCACTGGCTGGCTGGTCTGGACGGTCTCTGGCTGGACGGTCTGGGCGGTCACTGGCTGGACGGTCTGGACGGTCTCTGGCTGGACGGTCTCTGGCTGGACGGTCTAGACGGTCTCTGGCTGGACGGTCTGGGCGGTCACTGGCTGGACGGTCTGGACGGTCTCTGGCTGGACGGTCTCGGGCTGGACGGTCTGGACGGTCTGGACGATCTCTGGTGCGGGCTGGACGGGGCTGGACGGAACCAGCGAAGAGGAGAGCTTGGGCTCGGCAGGGCTGGACGGAACCAGCGGAGAGTAGAGCTCGGGCTCGGCGAGGCTGGACGGAACCAGCGGAGAGGAGAGCTCGGCGAGGCTGGACGGAGGCTGGGAGGAGGCGGGAGAGGGAGGCTGAGTGGGATCCTGGTCTCTGGCTGGGCGGTCTGGACGGTCTCTGGCTGGACGGTCTGGACGGTCTCTGACTGGACGGTCTGGGCCGTCACTGGCTGGACGGTCTGGACGGTCTCTGGCTGGACGGTCTGGACGGTCTCTGGCTGGACGGTCTGGACGGTCTCTGGCTGGACGGTCTGGACGGTCTCTGGCTGGGCGGTCTGGGCGGTCACTGGCTGGCTGGTCTGGACGGTCTCTGGCTGGACGGTCTGGGCGGTCACTGGCTGGACGGTCTGGACGGTCTCTGGCTGGACGGTCTCTGGCTGGACGGTCTAGACGGTCTCTGGCTGGACGGTCTGGGCGGTCACTGGCTGGACGGTCTGGACGGTCTCTGGCTGGACGGTCTCTGGCTGGACGGTCTGGACGGTCTGGACGATCTCTGGTGCGGGCTGGACGGGGCTGGACGGAACCAGCGAAGAGGAGAGCTTGGGCTCGGCAGGGCTGGACGGAACCAGCGGAGAGTAGAGCTCGGGCTCGGCGAGGCTGGACGGAACCAGCGGAGAAGAGAGCTCGGGCACGGCGAGGCTGGACGGAACCAGCGGAGAAGAGAGCTCAGGCACGGCGAGGCTGGACGGAACCAGCGGAGAGGAGAGCTCGAGCTCGGCGGGGCTGGACGGAACCAGCGGAGAGGAGAGCTCGAGCTTTGCAGGGCTGATGTGGAGCGCCGGCTTTCTGGGGACAAGAACCAAACGGGGTCGCCGAATTGGGTGGAGGATCCCCAGAAAA